CCCCAAAACCCCAAAACCCCAAAACCCCAAAACCCCGTAAATTTTCATAAATTTTGAATAATCTTTAAGAAAATGGCAAGAGTTTCTGTAGATGAGTTTATAAATATAAAGGATTTTGTAAGGATGAGTATTGGGTAAGTGACAAATATTGTCAAATTAGAACAGCCATTGGAATATTTAATGACAGAATCATTCCTCTAGACTTTTGATATCCTTCTTTAACATTATAACATACTTTATATAGGATATTCAATGTACTAGCTAATGCTCATAATGATAATTTTGACATTTTGACAAGCTTCTTGAACAGTAAGTTAATGCTTCTGATTATTATAAAATTTGAGATATGTAGTGTTTTTACATAAGAAACAGCAATTTCTGGCAATACTGCTTTCTGAGGTTTTATTAATCAAAAATATTTATCTTTCATAGGTCAAGGAATTTAATGATGGTAGCCTCGAATTTGAGAAGATCATGACTCTAGATAAGAACACACTTGGAGTTGACTCCTTTGGAACAATTTCAAGTCAAGGGTTTTGGAAATCTCTGAAGAAAGAACTTTTCCAAAAGTAGATATTTTTAGTAACACATAGAGTATGAACTGATCAGCTTAGCTCACTCGGATTCCATAGCCCTGGAAAGAGTAAAAAGTTTGATGAGCCTACTATTTCATCTATTCGCAAAGCTAGAGCTGCTGTAGCAAACACAGAGAGTTCTGTATCTTCTAGGTCAGTCTCAAAAGAGAAATGTGGGGTCTTCAAAAGAACCAGACAATTTGGGAAATTTATTAATAAAAGTAAGAATATTTATGAAGATGATGGCGAGAAGAAATCCAAACAAACATTACGTAAGAAGAAGGGCTTCTTAGGCACCAAGAAGCACAGTTGCAGCAGCCAGAGAAGTCTGGCTCATCTTGAGCCTAAGAACCAGATTATTAATCTTACTGTGTCAAGGTAAAGTTGATTTCTCTAATTTTTAGCAATCTTTCTCTTCCAAAGAAGAGTCAAGGGAAGATAGTAACTCCAACTGGGAAGACCTCTCGAGTGCCGAGGGAGATGAAGACACCAAGTTTTGGAAATAATTCAGGTCAAGACGATCATCCTTCTTTGTATAAAGATTCTCACAGAAGAGAGAAAGGACTAGAAGCTGTAACTTCTGCTGAAAGAACAATGCAGGAGAGACATCAAGTTTCTAAAGAAATTGAAGTGGCAACTCTTAAAAGAATGGAGAAGCCGGGTCAGGCAAAGATCTCACTTTGAGATTCTGATAAAATCACTACAAATGATGAAAGAATCCTTCAATATGCTAGCTTAATGGGCCACAAGAAGATACCCCATGGGATGAAGAAGAACAGTTTGGAGGATACTAAAACTTCAATTGGCTCAAACGGTACATCTAGAGGAAATATTAGAAATCATCAGAAGCTAATTTCTAAAGAAGACTCAAAATCCTTCTCTGAAATAAGCAAGTTTGAGACGAATAAGCTTCCCGAAATTCAATTGAAAGAGGTACCACCTGCGAATAGTCAGACTTCTGAAAGGTAACTTTAGCTATAAATTTGCAGAAATGATATGGGCAATAAACAGCTCATGGAGCAATATTCTACAGAAAAGGAGAGATATGTTAAATACGAACTAGCCAATCAGGAAAGTGATAAGCATTTTGTTCCCAAACCAGCGAGGGACTCCATCAAAGACAAGCGCGAGGACTATGAGCATTTCATTGATAGGCCTCTAAACTCTATTTACGGTATGGGTGACTTTTGATTTATAGAATCGAATCGTAGTAAGCAGTCTAATCCTACAAGTCTGCATTCTGAGACAAATATGAAGACCCAAAATATTATTGGAAAGGAGGGAATTCATGAGAAGGCCTCTTCAGCTGGGAAATTACAGAGGAAAATAGTCTCTAAGAAAGGCAGTGATAAGAAGTCAAAAATCACTCCACTAATCACTAAGGAATATAAAGAAGATAAGATCCAGGGATATGATTTCGTAAGAAATAAAATAGGCAAAAGTAATAGCTTTGAAGGGAGATACAAAAGTTTGCAGCCTCTTCATGATTCGTCCAAAGGTAAAGCACTGAGGTGATTTATAGAACTCCAATCACTTAAGGCCTTACAATCTAATGATAAGAACTCACGGTATAGTAGAAACCTGATTCAAAAGAAAGAACTTATGGAAACAACATATGACAAAAAGTCCATGATTCTGATCCAAAATTCTGAATTGCTTGATCCCCAAGCTTCAAAGATGACAAGTATGAAGACATATACTAATGAGTTGATCAGAAAGGATGACTCTGGGAGCTATTTGAAAAAGCAGCCTAAGTATTTCAAGAACATGAACATGCCAGCTTCATTGCCTAGTCATCAGACAGGAGCTCAACCATGGTAAACCGTCTCATTCATTTTTAGGCCATCTAAGAGATACAACAACGTTCACGAGTCAAATGCTTCACTTAGAGAAGATGCTAGTAGAGCTTCTTCTGAGATGTTCAATTCTGACGAGCTTGTATGTTCTTCTGGAGCTGCGGTGTCGTATAACGACCATAACCTGCTAGAGAAGGAAATGGAGAAAAATGAATCATCGAAAATGAAACAGAGAAATCTAAACAATCGATACAGTAAGGGTTCCAGTGATGGTCTTACTCACCTTATCCTCACTCCTGAGGACAGAGTCAGAGTCAAGAGATTCAACTCAAATGAGAATTATACAGCTGTGTACAGAGAGAATATAGAAGAAAACAAGCTAGAGGATAGCTCTTCTGTAAAGCCAGAGTATGGAAGAGAGAGTTCTATGAGGACTATTACAGCTATGGCACTTCCTGGCAAAGTCCTTAACAAAATAATGGGGTATTATGGAGATCAGTATGTAATGAACTCTCTTTGTAAAGAGATCAGGAATAAAATTAAGACTTATACTGGAATAGGAGTATCTTCTAGCATCGGGCTTTCAAAGGAAAATGGAGAGCACCCTGAAGAGGCTGATAAGGAGCCATTCAAAATCTCTTCTACACTGAGATCTGACTATGATAGCCAGTGGTGAAGGGATGATTGGGGAAATCTCATTTTAGCTATTCAGAATGAAGAGTTATCACCTAAGGATTCAATTGTCCTGAATCTCTACTTTACATTTATGGGAGTAGACCTTTCCTTTGGTAAGATAAAACTCTAACCTTCTAGAAAATTTACAAGAGGAGTTGCTTCAAATAATGGAATCAACAAGAGAGAATCACCACCAGCATTTTGACCCTGACCAGCATTTCACTTTCAATGAGTCGAATATTGAGAAAATTCGGGAGCTATTGATCAGCCTCAACAATGAAAGCTTTATGTCATCAGAAGTATCACAATTAGGAATCTTTGATGTATTCACGAATATCATCATTGAAGCACTCCAGTTTCTAGAGTTTATTCCAAGTTAAGTTTGAGGTATAATTTGCATAATTTCAACTTGGGAAATCACTAACGGGGTTTTGGGGTTTTGGGGTTTTGGGGTTTTGGGA